CTCATCCATTTTCCTACTTAAGCTCAACTGGACAGGCAATAGATGGTGGCTGAAGAACTTGGGTCTTTTGTAACCCAAGTTCCAGGCTTTGTTGGAGGTACATGCAGGAATGAATCAATAGATGGTGGATCTCTCCCTTTCTCTCTTTGAACTCAGATGAAAATAAATACATTATTTAAAAAAATAAATAACAGGGTTTGGCTACCATCCACATCTAGAGCTTTACAAACCTAATGTTAAACTAATCAACTTGCATGTAGAGTCTGGGTTGTAAACGTTGACAATTCAAAGTGTAAGAATATTGAGGCTCATGCACAATTCTCTGTGTGACAGCTCTATTTGGAAGGCCTTCACTTCCCACAATAATGCTGTCCTTAGGAAAACATTAAATACTTCCTAGTTTATTTACTAATTCAAAAGTGTTTAATTCTGTAAGTCAGAAACGCTCTTTGTTTTCTTTAACCATCTCATTCATTGATTTTTAATTGGTTTACTTACTAAACTCACGTTAATGTCTACTTTGTGTGATATTGACTGGCAGATGCAGAAAACCTCAAGATGAACAGTAAATAATCCATGGCTTCCTAAGGTTTGTATTCTCTGACAACATGATATTTAGGAAGCAGAAAGTATGTGGTAATGGAAACAATAATTTGTCATAGGTACTTTTGAGAGATATTCTTAAGATGGTGAGAAGGTTTACCAGAGGAAAGATGTTGTTGAGCACAATCAACACAAAACAATCTCAAAGAATTGAATTCTTATTGGAATGTGTGCCTCTGGTGACTTCAAAATGTTAAAACTTCTTGAAACACTTCCTCTGTTTCACAGTTCTGGCAGTCAAGAAAACTTAATTTTATCCTTAAGCAAGAATAGAAAACTGCTTCACCAAGTAGAGCTTCAAATTCAATTCTCATACACTCTAAAGACTTAATTAACTCACTTAACCACATTTTGCATATTTTCTTTTTTTCCAACTCATTAGGTTCTCATTTACTCAGCTGATTTGAGGGAATTTTCTCTTTTTGCCCTTGTTTCAAAAGATCATAATCCCTTTGGAAGAAACAGTGACATTTGTAAGAGAACCCCACATTGGTAACAAACACTTTAAAGGACATTATGCTCATTGAGTAGCATCTGTGATCCTAAATGTAATAAGAATCAATTGAATATTTAACTCAAATACCACTTGATTATCCAGTGATGTTAGTTCAGCAAATGTCTAATCACTGTCTATTGCAGTTTCCAAGATTGGGTTGTCCATCCAGGATGAGAGAAAATTTCTCCAGGTGTTTACCTATTTTATTCATGTTTCCATGTTGACTAGTGCTTTGATGATAAAATTAACAACTTTTGAGGTAAAATAAATAATTTGTTCTTAGAACACTTACCACTAACTGAATAGTCCGGGATGACTCTGTCCTTCAGCACTCACCTGCTCTCTGAACAGCAAGTCCTACACCCATATGGAACTTATTTTGATGTTTAAGTTTCATCATTTCTATCAAAAATAGGGCAGGATTTCCATAACCTGCTGGATTGTCCTTCCTGCTTGATGTTTCCAGTCTTCATACAGTACAGTCTTCAACAGAGATGTCAACAGTTAATCATATTTCCCTCCTATTTCTCTTGCTTCCTGTTTTTCTAATGGAAACAGCAAGGTATCAGTCAGTCTACCTGCTGCTGCTTTGCTTATCTTAGACAATGGGAAGGTGAAAATGACAGAGTAAAACCTCGTTTCTATTGTGTTCTCAGTGCTAATGTTTTAAAGCTTCTCTCTTTCTCACTCTTGATCCCTGTCACAGATTGCTTAAACATCTTCCTCTGACTGTGTAGCTCTTTGCATATCAGCTATGGTGACTTTTCCAAATAAAAATATGATCATACATGGCCCCATTTAGACTAACACACATCAATGAGTTCTCATTGGCTAAAACAGTAAAGCTCAGACTATACATTTGACCTGCAAGCTGCCTTGTATTATGTCTCTTGCTTAGCCTTTCTCTACTGTATCAGCCACTCCTCATCATGTCTGATGTCTGAATGAGACATGGCCTTGTACTTTATTGTAATGAACACCTGACTCTCTTGCACTGTCACTGTGCCTGGAATGCCCTCTCCATTCTCCTGTGTGTCTTCTCAGGATCTGTAGCTACCTTACACATGCTTTGTGAGTATAGTCTGTAGATATTTTCACCCAGGATTCCAATCATAGCTCCCCCTACTTACTAGTTCTTAATCATGAGTAAGTTATTTTACCTGTGGGTGTTTTGGTTCCCTTATTTGTGAATGTTGTCATGTTACTGCTTCCTAACCAGGTTGCTTTGAAAACAAAATGAACAAATACATAGAAATAATTTATGCGTAAATGCATAACAAAGTGTGATTAAATGATAAACCTTCAAGATATATTAATATCACATTTTCAGTCAATTCAATAATAATGAGATAGCAAACCTGACAAAATATTGTAAAGAGAGAGAAAATTCCAAAGCCAAACATAAATTATGGATTGATAACTAATCAGGATTAGTGATTTTATGCCTCTTTTGTTGATCACGATAATCAATGTATAGTTTTTGAAATTCAAGATTAAATCTAAATGGATTTAAATTAAGGTGTATCTGCACCTAAAAGAAGGAATGGAATGTAGAAGTACTAATTATAAGAAATCCCTTGGGATTCCTTCTTCTGTTCCATTGATCTTTCTTTCTGCAGCAGTTTGACTATTTGATGACCACTGCCCTGTAGTATGTTTTGAGGTCTGGAATTGTGATTCCTCCATGTATGCTTTTATTCTTCAGGTTGGCTTTGGTTATTCGTGGTCTCTTGTGTTTCTAGATGAATTATTGTATCATTTTTTTCTATTTTGGTTGGGATTGCATTGAATCTGTAATATGGACATTTTGATGATGTTGATTAGTTTTGATTAGGTTATTTCCAAGGTGTTTAAGATTCCTCTCCACTATTTTAAAGGGGCCTGTGCTTACAAGTTTCTTCTCAGCCATGTAATTTGTTGTGTATATTAGCATAATCAATTTATGTTCATGGGTTTTGTATCTTGCTTCCCTGCCAAACTCTCATATGAGTTCCAGTAGTCTCTTTATTGAGTCTTTTGGTTCTCCTATGTATAGAATGATGTCATCTGCAAAGAGGAACGTCAAATTCCTCATTTCCAATTTGAATTCCTTTAATTTCTTTTCTTGCCTAAAACTCCAGCAAGGACTTCCAATGCTATGTTGAATAGCAGTGGTGAAAGTGGATACCATTGTCTAGTTCTAGATCTTAGTGGAAAAGCTTCCAGCCTTCCCCCACTTCATATGATGCTGGCATTAGGTTTTTCGTAATTTGCTTTGATTATGGTGTAGCATGTTTCTCCTATACACTTTTCCAAACTCAGTCATTTTATTGCATATTACCAACATTTAGCATTTTCGAAGAATCATTTTATTCTACTGTGGAATATTAAGAAAACGGATATTTGACCGTGTATAAACGCTAATGATTCATACAAATACCATACCATTTAGTACAGATAAACCAAGAACTCTGCTATTTCCAGGACTCATTACCTGGACTTGAAGTTCAAACCTCTGCGTAGTGAGTGATCATTAGCTGTGTTTAAGATATCAGAAGATCATGATGAACAAGGAAAGTAGGTGGTTTCAGCTGCTTTCCAGAATGCTATTTAGATTTCAAGCTGGCTCTGAGGCCAGATCATGCTTCTATTTAAAGCAATCATCTGAGTTTCTAGGAGTCCTGATGCTCTGATACTTAGGATTTAAGAGTTGGGAACAGAGTGTAAAGGCTGGAATTCAGCAAACACTTAAACTATAAATAGAAGCAGGCTCCCTTCTTAAAAAGCATACTGACATCAAAGGAAGTCTGAGTCTTGACTTATCCAGATGCCTGTGCTAAGTCTTCTTGGGGCAATGAGAAACTGTTGGCCTCCTCTAAATTACTCTGGAGGATAAGAGCTAGTCACTATATAATTTTGATTTATTGCCCAAAGCAGGGAACTGTTGGGAGTATAAGGGGTCCAATAATTTTCATATCCCTGGTTAATCCAGGGCAATGGAAGAAATAAAACAAATCTCTGGCAATCTGGATCTTGTGGTTAACCTAAAGTTAGAATGAGAAAAAAATTACGAATTTCAAAAGGGTAAGCAAATTTTATCACAAATATTTCCTCTTCCTGTCGTTTCTTTGTGTCTCTCAGTATGCTTTGCATTTTTCTTTTTTTCCTATTTTCATAGGTTTAAGTGCATATATAGTGCTCGGCAGACCTATGTAATAAGAAATATTCCCACATAAGTCCAGCAGCCCCCACTTGTTAAAGTGTCATTATTTTGTAAATTAAATTATGATGACATTATCTCATACTATGGCAAGATTTCTGAAATCCATATGTGTTGAGAATACTCATATTCACAATAATGCACAGTATTTTACATTCCCAGTATTTTGGTTTGTATGAAGGTACTTTTAAAAACTTGTATGAAATGTGTGATGAAAATACTATGTATGAATTTCTAAATTTTTTTTTTCATCAAAATAAATTTTTCTCTTCACTTCATTCTTTTAAAGAATTTTTTGAAGTTGCTTCATTGATGCATTTTCATTTGCTGGGGATCTGAGCATGATTTGCTGCCTTGGCTTTGGAGCTTTTCAATTAGAAGCCTAAGTTACAGGGGTGAAATAAAAATCTGATTTGGATTCCTCTCTGTGAAATCTGGCAGTGTGTTTTGACTATGCATTCAGTAAGTAGTTAATGATGTTGAATGGTGTATGCTAAGCACTATGAAGACTTATATCTGATAGAAAAATTAACAAGATATACTTTTACTCAAAGTATTTACCATTGACTCTTATACTTTATAGAATTTACTATTATTTGCAAAAAACATGAGTATGTCATTAGCTGTCTATGTAATATAATTAAAATATTTATTTCTCTTCATCCTCCTGCTGATAACATCCGGGGCTTCTTTCCTGTGAAGCTGAGTCATCCAATGGTGGCTATTCCTGAACATGAAAGTCTTGATTCCAAAGAGGTAAATGTGAAATACAACTGGAGACCTACTTACTTACCCATTGCCATGTGATGTTACTTTGTAGAAATAAATCAATTTTATTTTTTTAGTTAAAATAATTCTCTAATGGAAAAATTGTAGCCAACTGACTCCTTCCAAATTGTTTGAAAGCATTTATCAGTTTTATGTGTCATAATTGAGTTCTCACTGTGGAAGTTGGTTCTGACATTTCCACTGTGTGTAACACCTTGACTGCAAGCCAACTCATTCAATCATGAATATTTGCTTTTTGCATTTTTCTTATTGGGTTTGTAAGTAAAACAACTGTGATCTTCTTTCTCTAGAGTGTTAGTGAATGTCCCATAATTCATGTGGTGTGTTTTGCAAGTCACAGGCCACAGTAGTGTTTCCTGGTATTTTAATTTGAGTTCGTAGGAGAAGGATAACTTAGCTCTCTGAAGCCCTTCCTACCTCTAGCCAGTGAATTTCACGTATACTGAATAATGTATAGACAGAAGCATACTAGCTCAATCATAACTGCCAAATTTAATGTACAATTTTATCCAACTTCATGTTATGAGCTCACAAAAAGCTGTTTTTTTTAAGCCTTCTTTTTATTTTTATGAATGCTATGTAACATAGCAACCAAGAAAACATTTGTAAAGGGATGTTTTGTGTTCATCAAGAGCAGGAATAATTGAACAATGTTTTCTTCTACATCCTCTCTGGTAAAGTAGAAAATGTGGTTTTCTGCAGAGGGGAGTGGGTAAGCTCCTTTCTAGACTGCCTCATAAGTGAAGTGTGCTTCACTGTGCAGCTTCTGAGTTGAGAAAAAAAGAAACCATAGTATGAAAAGAGAAATTGGCATTATTTTTAGGGCAATATGCTAAACACAGGCTTACATATTTTGTAGGTATGGACAAGTGACTTTTGGCATATTTAGCCAAGTTGCTATCCTGAACATTCCAGAAACTTACCCTCCCGGGGTTATTTTACCATACTTGTGTCCATGTACTCATATCAACGTTGAGATTATTGAAAGTTCACTATGTGTTATAAACTGTTAGGCATATTAACCTAAAATCTTTTATGTTCAATTCTATTATTATTATTATTATTCGTATTTCACAGATAGAGGAAGTTAAGCTCAAGGAAAATCAGTCTTTTCCTGTAAATCAAAGAATTTAGGAATGTCTGTACAGTCAAGAACTGAATCCAGATATGACAGTTTGAGCCTTTACTCTAAAGCACTGAACCATACTGTTTTCGTTATCTAAATATATCTACATTAAACCTTAATTTTGATCAACATTTTTATATAACTTTTCTTTATCTGAAGTTCAGCCTATAGTATTTAGATATTTTTCCTTACAATTTTTATAAAATAGTGCAATTTTATTTAATAGTAAACATCTTTTACATATTAAAATGTTAACCATGCAAAATGTTAGCGTTTTCAGCATGATGGTGGAAAACTGCATTAATAGAGAAAAGTTGGGAAAATGTGTCTTCAAAACTAACTAAAACACAGCTAAAATGTCAGCATTAATAAATTGTGCGCAATTAGGATGAATGTAAGAAGTCAAATGTTGTCCTTCAAGCATTTTTTTTTTTCAAAGTACACGAAGGCTGTATTTACAATGTCTCTGCACAATGACAGAAAATTAAGTTATTAAGTGACAAAACATCTAATTCCAAATAACAAATTGAGGAGAAATTCTGAATAATATGTAATATGAAAAGCTTTGTTTTTAAAAAGAGAACTGGGTAATATAATTTTGGCATTTCTTACACCAACTGTAACTACCCCTGGAAACAAAATTAATTTAATGGGTAAAATTGCCAAGAGAAAAAAGATTGTAATCCTGATATGGAATATCTGAGAAATACCATAAAAGAAACTGTAATTTGAAATTTCACATTTCTATGTGACACATTAAGTATTAAAGAAATTTAAATGATTATGCAAAATATCATTTTATGGTTTCAAAGGGCTATATATTACTTCTGTGTAAAATTGACAGATATCAGAATAATTTAACAACTTTTTACAGTTTCTTATGCTATCAGATTCTAATATTGACTCAAATATTTTCCTCAAGCTGTCTCTGGAATACTTAAACCATTAACCAAGAAAAGCATCTGTTTTGTAAAGCAATCCACGTCTTATAATTGTGTGACCTAAAGGGCTAAACTGCAGCTAAAAACCAAGTAAAAAGAATTGTGGAAGAGCCTTGCATTGTGTTCCAGTTCTCCTTTGGTTTTCTTTCATTTGCGGATCACAGCAGTTTGTCTTGCTATCACTTAGACCTTTATTTATTTAATCCAAGTGCACTATTTATAGAGACTGCCTTTAAAAATTAACCTAGTAATTTATTTAAACGCCAATTGTTTTGGTTCTACCTGATTTGATTCACCCATTATTTAACTCACACATTTTCTATAGTTCAGCTAAAAGAAACTCAGAGGGAGAATTGCACTTACTACATAGCTCTGTGGTGCTCAACGCTGGCTAAACACGGAATCATCTGTGCTGTCATCCAAAATGCACCAATATTAGTACCAGGCAGCTAGCATTGTCCCATTACTTTCCAGGGTGATGGCAATGTAAGCCCAAAGTTGAGATTTTCAAATTGTAGTTCCTTAATGGCAATCTAGAGAAGTCTATCAAATCAGTTATTCAATCTTAAAAGCAAAAATCAGGTTATTAAATCAGGATGCTCATAAAATATTTTGTCTCACTGAATGCTTTGAATTATTAAATATTTTGTTCATTGACTTTTTACAATAATATGAATATATAATGTGGTTTAATCTCATGGTAGATTAATTTTGAGAGATATGTGCTATGTTATGATTCACTGTAATTTCCTCAGTAAAAGTTAACATTTTACTTCTGTGTTCTTGGCCTTCTATGCTAGGTCTGGAAACCACTTAGCCTAGACCTGATATTTGGTGCAAATTGAGCCTAGGGACTGTGGGGAAAAATATATGCTCATATGACTTATGTGACTCTAAAAAATAGTTCACCGTGATGGCTTAACATATGAACATATGACATCATGAAAAGTTTGATAATTGTGTCAACTGACTGATGCAGCTTAAAAGATGACTACTTTTATAGACTCCATTTTTTTGCGCCAATGCAAAATCTCTAATAAGGTGAATATTTAAGAGTATGTAAATACTCCCTGCCTGAGATAAGTAATGATTAATTAGACAAATTAATTTGGAGAAAACTAAATTTGAGTAGCAACATATGTTTCTGATTGTATTTCCCTATAACACCCACAAGTAATTTCTTCTTGGTCCAGTAACTCTCAGTCCATAATTAGTCCAAAATCCACTTCAGTTTCTAAAGCCTAATTGTAGAAGCCATTCTGGAAAAGGAGATGAAAACAAAACTGCCATCCTTCACATCACAGGCTTGAAATACAGCCTTCGAACTGTTTTATTTTCAACTTGCTTCTCCCAAACAAGGTTGGGTGCAGTTAATTCTGATATGTCAGACCTATTGGTTAACAAGACAATTTGAGAGCCAATGATACATTAGCTGTCCCCCAAAATACTAGACAAATTCTTCCGCTTTCTTTTTTGTCTTTGCAGGTTTTTGGACAAATATTTAAAGGTTGGCAGGATAATGATTCTAATAACAAGGTGACTTTTGACTTTAGCGGTATATTGGGGGTTTTTTTTTGCCTTCATTTTATTTTAAATTTAAAAACTTCTTTTTATATGTAAGGTTTTCTTAAGGCAAGCTTTTCATTCCTCAGTATTTTTGTTGAAGAGATTAAGAAAAACGTAAGAAAATAAGTTGTTCATGGAAGTTACTCATTTCCTGTTTGATTCAAATCCAAAAAAAAAAAAACATATCAAGAGGAATAAGATTTTTTTCTGAAACTCTCAAATTGCTTACAGTTTAGCTCATGCAAAAACCTGGATTTGTCTGCTGATAAAAGAAGGTTCTTATGCATTGATAAGTAACTAGATAAAAGTGCAAGAACAATTTGTGTTATTAAAAAAAACCTAACACAGACAGGGTTGATACCCATCTTGACTGGGTGCCTAGGTGAGCACGGAAATAATATATAAAAGGAAACTGTTATTTTCGTGTTTGACAACAGACCTAAGAAAATTGGTGCAGGTGTTGTATTGCAACAGATAAAGCTGCTGCTGAGAGGCTCCCATTCCCTTACAGAATTCTTTATCTTAAGCCTGACTACTGCGCACTTTCAGTCCAGTCTGTTGCTAACGTACCTGGGAGGCAGCAGGTAATAGTACAAGTACCTGAATTGCTGACACCTACATGGCAGATATAAGCGGATTCTTTGTCTCCTAGTTTCAGTTTGGTCCAGCTCCAACTCTTGTGGACATTTGGGGCATGATGTAATGGAAGATTAATCTCTCTCTCTTTCTCATTCTCTCCCCTTCTCTCCCTATTATTACATGTTTTGAACAATTTACCGGGGGCGGGGCGGAAACCTCTTTTTGTGTGTGTTGTAAGCCCTTTGCCTTTGCTGAGGAAAAAAAAAAAAAATATATATATATATATATATATAAAATTCTGCCAACCTAGAAGTCCTCTTCACAATAATGATATATAAAGAAACACTTTCATTTTTATAAGCAGTAACCCGAATGTTATTGCCTATGTGCATCATGCTCAATCTGCTAAGAGACTGCAAATACAGGAAGCTGTCTCACCCCTTATATAGCCATGAAGCTATAGCTGCATTATGTATATATATATATTCCAAAGATAAACAATAGTTCAAAGCATTCTTAGATGTGAGGAATTCACAGTCTCATTTATCACACATAGCTCATCCTGAATTTACCAGGTATTTGGGACAACCATTTGTGTTGAGATTCACACAAAGAAAAAATAAACTTTTCCTATATTTAGGACAAGAGGTAATTTCATGCCGTGAAACAAGTGTCACCAAATTAGGGTTTCTGCTTCCCTGAAAATTAGGAGTTAGGGACCTTTCTCACTCTTCCTTGGATGTTTGTATTTGTTC